AAGTCTGTCAGAGCGGGAGCTGCGTTGTCGTCACTGGATGTACAGCTGACGCTCAATGTGCTACCGGCGAGGTCTGTCAGAGCGGGAGCTGCGTTGCCGGCCCTGAATGTACCACCGACGCTCAATGCGCTACCGGTCAAGTATGCCAGGGTAACAATTGTGTCGTTCCCTGTGACGATGCCACCAGCTGCGAAACCGGCCATACTTGCTCGGGCGGAATCTGCATTGTCGACATCGGCTGTGTATCTGACGACGAATGCGCCGAGAACGAGACTTGCCAGCAAGGAATCTGCGTTGCCAATCCCTGCGCCACCAACGATGACTGTGGTGAGGGTCAAACGTGTCAGAGCCAACTCTGTGCCGTGGGCTGCGTCTCTGACGACAACTGCAATGCTGGCGAGACTTGCGAGTCGGGCGTCTGTACCGCTTCTGGATGTACCAGCAGCGCTGACTGCAACACGGGAGAGTCGTGTGTCTCCAACAGTTGCACCTCAACGGGTTGCACCGCTAGCAGCCAGTGTTCAACTGGCGAGACGTGTATTTCGGGCGTTTGCTCCCCATCTGGCTGTACGTCTGCCGCTCAGTGTGTTAGCGGCGAGGACTGCGTTGACGGAATCTGTACCGCTGGTGAAGGGTGCACGTCTAGCTCTGAATGCAGCACCGGTGAGAGCTGTGTCTCTGGAAGCTGTTCTCCCTCTGGCTGCACAGCTACCGCTGAGTGCCCTGGTGGCGAGAACTGTGCTTCTGGCGTCTGTACTTCAGCCGGATGTTCAACGGACGACGATTGTGCTCCAGGAGAGAGTTGCGCTTCTTCTGTCTGCACGTCTACCGTCCCTTGCTCTGCCGATACAGACTGTGCCGACGGCGAGGCCTGTTCGAACGGAGTCTGCGTTGCTGGGTCTCCAGCCTGCACAACCAGCAGTGACTGCGGAACTGGCGAGAGTTGCGTATCGGGAACCTGCACACCTGATTCTACGGGATGTACGGCTAGTACCGAATGCGGCACCAGCGAGAGCTGTGTATCTGGTGTCTGTACGCCATCCGCCTGTACCTCTGATAGCGATTGCCCATCTACTGAGACCTGCGAGGCTGGAGTCTGCACTGTTGTGTCTCCGCCGGGATGTCAATCTAGTACGGACTGTGATTCTGGCTCGAGCTGTGTATCGGGAACTTGCACACCTGATTCCACGGGATGTACATCGAGCACCGACTGCAGCAGTGGTGAGAGTTGTGTATCTGGGGTTTGTACACCATCCGGCTGTACCTCTGACAGTGACTGTCCCTCTACCGAGACCTGCGAGGCTGGAGTTTGTACTGTTGGGTCTCCAGCAGAATGTCAATCCAGTACCGACTGCGACTCTGGAGAGAGCTGTGTCTCAGGGACTTGCACACCGGATTCCACAGGATGTTCAGCCAGCACCGACTGCAGTAGTGGTGAGAGTTGTGTATCTGGGGTCTGTACGTCATCCGACTGCACCTCTGACAGCGACTGCCCATCTGGTGAGACCTGTGAGGCCGGAGTTTGCACTGCCGGGCCTCCAGCGGACTGTCAATCGAGTGCTGACTGCGACTCTGGAGAGAGTTGCGTGTCAGGAACTTGCACACCCAATTCCACAGGATGTACAGCCAGCACGGATTGCAGCAGTGGTGAGAGCTGCGTATCTGGCGTCTGCACACCATCTGACTGCACCTCTGATACTGACTGTCCTTCCGGCGAGGCCTGTGATGCCGGTGTCTGTACTCCCGGTTCTCCCACCGATTGCCAATCCAACAGCGACTGTGATGACGGCTCGAGTTGTGTGTCCGGCACCTGCACACCTGATTCCACGGGATGTACAGCTAGCACCGACTGTGTCGCTGGCGATAGCTGCGTATCTGGCGTCTGCACATCATCTGGCTGCACATCTGATAGCGAATGTCCCTCTTCCGAGACCTGCGAGGCCGGGGTCTGCACAGTTGGGCCTACAACTGGCTGCCAATCCAGCACTGATTGTGACAGCGGCTCAAGCTGCGTGTCCGGAATCTGTACGCCTGATTCAACAGGCTGCACGGCTAGCAGTGAGTGTGCTACAGGCGAGAGCTGTGTCTCTGGAGTTTGCTCTCCATCTGGTTGCACTCAGGATAGCGAGTGTGCGAGCAACGAAACCTGTACTGCCGGAGTCTGCACAGCTGGTACTCCAGAATGCACCGTGGACTCTGATTGCACTGGAGCTGGAGAGACTTGCGTATCTGGCAGTTGTACAGTTGCACCGGCTTGTACCGATGATTCTGGCTGTGGGACTGGACAGACTTGCGTATCTGGTAGTTGCACAGCTGGCACTCCAGAATGCACCGTGGACTCAGACTGCACTGGAGCTGGAGAGACTTGCGTCTCCGGCAGCTGTATAGTTGTACCAGCTTGTACCGACGATTCTGACTGCGGAACTGGACAGACCTGCGTCTCTGGAGTTTGTGATCCTCCTTGCGCCACCAGCGACGAGTGTACCGACGGAGAAAGCTGTGTTGCTACCATCTGCATAGTCGACACACCCTGCTCCGCCGATACTGACTGTGCCGATGATGAGACATGTGTAAACGGCACTTGTACTCCTATTCCTGGCTGCACTGCGAGCTCTCAGTGTGACGCCGGCTCGAGCTGTGTATCCGGATCCTGCACGCCTGACTCGACAGGCTGTACAGCCAGCACTGACTGTGCTACTAACGAGAGCTGTGTATCTGGGGTTTGTTCCCCGTCCGATTGTACTAACGACGACCAGTGTGTTTCCGGCGAAACTTGTCAAGCCGGAGTCTGCACGCCTGGCTCACCATCTACAGGCTGCACAGCTAGCACCGACTGTGATAGTGGCTCCAGCTGTGTTTCCGGCACTTGTACGCCTGACCCTACAGGCTGTTCAGCGACTAGCCAGTGTCCATCCGGTGAAAGCTGCGTTTCTGGAGTCTGCACTTCATCTGGTTGCAGCTCTGACAGCGAGTGTGCTTCCGGAGAGACCTGCAGCAACGGAGTCTGCACAGCTGGCTCCACGTCCCCAGAGTGTACTGTTGATGGCGACTGTTCTTCCGACCAGATTTGCAGTGGCGGAGTGTGTACATCTGGACCTACATCACCAGAGTGTAGTATTGACGCAGACTGTTCCTCCGGCCAGATCTGTGTCAGCGGGACCTGCAAAACTGGACCTACATCGCCAGAGTGTACTGTCGATGCAGATTGTTCTTCTGGGCAGACGTGTAACGGAGGTATCTGCACAACCGCCTCTACGACACCGGAATGTACTGTTGATGCAGACTGTTCTTCTGGGCAGATATGCAACGGAGGAATCTGCACCGTTGGCTCTATATCGCCAGAATGCACATCAGATACAGACTGTTCTTCTGGTGAGACTTGTAATAACGGAGTCTGCACAACCGGTTCTACGTCCCCAGCCTGTTCTGTCGATTCAGACTGTGCTTCTGGCCAGATCTGCACCACTGGAGTCTGTACCGATGGCTCTACATCCCCAGACTGCACTGTTGATTCAGATTGTTCGTCTGGCGAGATTTGCAGTAACGGAGTCTGCACGACTGGTTCTACGTCACCGGAATGCACTCTTGATACGGACTGTTCTTCTGGAAAGACCTGCAACAACGGAGTCTGCACAACTGGTTCAACATCTCCAGACTGCACCGTTGATTCAGACTGTGTTTCTGGCCAGATCTGCAGCAGTGGAGTGTGCACAACCCCCGAATGCACTGCTGATACAGACTGCTCTTCTGGTGAGATCTGCAGTAATGGAGTTTGCACAACTGGCTCTACACCTGAATGCACTGTTGATGCAGACTGTTCTTCTGGCGAGGTTTGCACCAGTGGAGTGTGCACAACTGGCTCTACTACCCCAGAATGCAATATTGATACAGATTGTTCTTCTGGCGAGATCTGTAGCAACGGAGTATGTACAACTGGCTCTACATCGCCAGAATGCACTGTTGATACAGACTGCTCTTCTGGCGAGACTTGCAATAACGGAGTTTGTACCGCTGGCACATCAGAATGTACAACTAGCACTGATTGTGATAGCGGCTCTAGCTGCGTTTCCGGATCTTGCACACCTGATTCTACTGGTTGCACATCTAGTAGCCAGTGTCCTACTGACGAAAGCTGTGTATCTGGAGTCTGCACTGCATCTGGCTGCACCACTGATAGCGAGTGTGCTGCCGATGAGACTTGCAACAACGGAGTTTGTACCGCCGGCACATCAAGCTGTACAGCTAGCACTGATTGTGATAGCGGCTCCAGCTGTGTCTCTGGATCCTGCACACCTGATTCTACTGGTTGCACAACCAGCGGCCAGTGTCCTAATGATGAGAGCTGTGTATCCGGGGTCTGCTCGTCGTCTGACTGCACCGATGATACTGAGTGTCCCTCTACCGAAACTTGTGACGGCGGAGTTTGCACGCCAGGCTCGTCAGGTTGCACGTTGTCCAGCGAGTGTGATGCTGGTCAGAACTGTATCTCCGGCGTCTGTTCCCCAGCTCCCTGCACATCCGACGACGAGTGTGGCACCGAAGAGTCTTGCGTATCTACGATCTGCATTGTTGACACCCCTTGCACGGGTGACGCAGATTGCGCTGCTGGCGAAACCTGCGTTGGTGGAGTATGCACACCTGGCTCTTCAACATGCACAGCAACCAGTGACTGTGCTTCAGGCGAGAACTGTATATCTGGGTCTTGTTCTCCCGAGGAGTGCACTTCTGATGCTCAATGCGCTAGCGGAGAAACCTGCGATGCTGGAGTCTGCACGTCTGGCGCTACAACTTGCACAGCAACCGACGGTTGTCCTTCGGGCGAAAACTGCATATCTGGATCTTGCTCTCCATCTGACTGCACCCTTACCAGCCAATGCCCTGACAACGAGAACTGTATATCCGGAACATGTTCTCCATCCGACTGCACTTCTGATGCCGATTGTCCTTCCACCGAAACTTGCACCGCCGGAGTCTGTACAGTTGTCTCTCCGGTCGCCTGCGACTCTAGCAACGCCTGCCCTGCTGGCCAGAGCTGTGTATCTGGCACCTGTTCTCCCGACGGATGTACGTCTAGCACTCAGTGCGGCACTGGAGAGGCCTGTGTCGCTGGCAATTGCTCACCGGATGGCTGTTCATCTGATAGTGAATGCGCAACCGGGGAGAGCTGTGATAGTGGTGTTTGCACACCTGGGTCTCCAAGTACCTGTGATTCCAGCGACACTTGCCCCGATGGCCAGAGCTGTGTATCTGGCAACTGCTCTCCGGATGGATGTACGGCCAGCACTCAGTGCAGCACGGGAGAGAGTTGTGTCTCCGGCGCTTGTTCTCCGGATGGCTGTTCATCCGATACCGACTGTGTAGGCTCAGAGACCTGCGATGCCGGAGTCTGCACACCTGGGTCCACAGGCTGCTCATCAGACAGCGACTGTCCCTCAGGTCAAACTTGTGACTCTAGCGTTTGCACATCCGGTTCTACAGGCTGCACATCTGATAGTGATTGCGCTTCAGAGCAAACTTGCAATGCCGGAGTGTGTACCACTGGCTCTACAGGCTGCTCTTCCGACAGCGACTGTGCCTCAGGTCAGACCTGTAACTCTGGAGTCTGCACGCCTGCCTCGACAGACTGTTCGTCTGATACAGACTGTGCAACTGGAGAAACTTGCACCGATGGAGCCTGTACACCTGCCTCCACAGCCTGCTCCTCTGACAGCGATTGTACGTCAGGTCAAACCTGCGATGCCGGAGTCTGCACAACTGGTTCTAAAGGCTGCTCATCTGATAGCGATTGTGCAACCGGGGAAGCCTGTATCTCCGGAGTCTGCACGCTTGACTCTACAGGCTGCTCATCTGATAGTGACTGTGCCTCAGGTCAGACCTGTAACTCCGGTGTTTGCACAACTGGTTCTACATGCTCATCAGACAGTGACTGTGCCTCGGGCCAAACCTGCAATTCCGGAGTCTGCACAGCCGGCTCCACAGACTGTTCGTCAGATAGCGACTGTGCCTCGGGGCAAACTTGCAATGCTGGAGTCTGCACAACTGGCTCTACAGGTTGCTCATCTGATAGTGATTGTACCCCAGGTCAGACTTGTAACTCCGGAGTCTGCACGCCTGACTCTACAAGCTGCTCTTCTACCAGCGAGTGCGATTCGGGCGTCAACTGTCTATCCGGAACTTGCACACCTGACATACCCTGTATATCTGACGATGAATGTGCAAGCGGGGAAACCTGCAATGCCGGAGTTTGCACGCCTAGATCTACAGACTGCTCGACTGACGATCAATGCGGCTCAAATGAAGCTTGTGTCTCGGGTGTCTGTGTTGCTACTTGCACTGTTGATGCCGATTGTGCAACAGGCGAGACTTGTAACTCCGGTACCTGCACGCCTCCTACAACCGGCACGGGTTGTACATCCGATGATCAATGCGGCAGCGGCCAAACTTGTTCATCTGGAGGCGTCTGTACCCCGGCTTGCAGTGTTGATACTGATTGCGCTACTGGTGAGACCTGCACGACTGATACCGGTGTTTGCACGGCATCAACTGGCTGTGCATCTGATAGTGATTGCGGCACGGGAGAGACCTGTACGATCGATACCGGGATTTGCACACCAGCTACATCCGGTTGCACGTCTGACAGCGACTGTGGTACTGGAGAGACCTGTACAATCGATACCGGTATTTGCACGACATCATCCGGCTGCACGTCCGATAGCGATTGTGGCACCGGAGAGACCTGTGCGATTGATACTGGAATATGTGCACCAGCTTCAACTGCATGCACATCTGATAGCGATTGCGGTACTGGGGAGACCTGTACAATCGATACCGGTATCTGTACCGCATCGACTAGATGCACATCTGACAGTGATTGCGGTCCCGGGGAGACTTGTGCTCTTGATACCGGGATTTGCACACCGGCTTCAACTGGCTGTACTTCCGACAGCGACTGCAGTACAGGGGAGACCTGCACAGTTGATACCGGGATATGCGCGCCGGCTTCATCTGGCTGCAATTCTGACAGTGATTGCGGTACCGGGGAGACTTGTGCTGTCGATACTGGCACATGTACACCGACTTCCAGTGGATGCACTTCTGACAACGATTGTGGCACCGGACAGACCTGTGCTGTTGATACCGGGATTTGCACACCAGCTTCATCTGTCTGCACTTCCGACAGTGACTGTAGCACTGGAGAGACTTGTGCGGTTGATACCGGAATCTGTGCACCGGCCTCAACTGGCTGCGAGGCTGATTCCGATTGTCCATCTGGCCAGACCTGTGCCACTGACACTGGCATTTGTACACCAGCTACATCAGGCTGCACTTCTAATAGCGATTGCGGCACTGGAGAGACCTGTACTATTGATACCGGAATCTGTGCACCAGCCTCAACAGGCTGCGAGGCTGATTCCGATTGTCCATCTGGTCAGACCTGTGCCACTGACACCGGGATATGTACAGGGGCTGCAACAGGTTGCCAGTCAGATGCTGATTGTGCCTCCGGACAGACTTGTACTGTTGATACCGGAATCTGTACACCGGTTTCAACAGGTTGCCAGTCCGATACTGACTGTGCCTCCGGACAGACCTGTGCTGTTGATACTGGAATTTGTAACCCAGCTTCAACAGGCTGCGAGTCTGATACCGATTGTCCATCTGGAGAGACATGTGCTGTTGATACTGGAATTTGTACACCGGCTTCAACAGGCTGCCAGTCTGATTCCGATTGTGCATCCGGTCAGACCTGTGCCACTGACACTGGAATCTGCTCGCCTCCAACCTCAAATGGTTGTACAGCTGATTCCGACTGCGGAAGTGGCCAAACATGTTCATCTGGAGTCTGTACTCCTCCTTGCACTTCTGATACTGATTGTGCCACGGGAGAAACCTGCACCACTGACAGTGGTATTTGCACGGTTTCAACCGGCTGCACTTCTGATGCCGATTGCGACACCGGCCAGACTTGTACAACTGACACTGGTGTTTGTTCGGCCCCGGGCTGCACTTCTGATAGCGATTGCGACAATGGAGAGACTTGCGCAACAGACACCGGTATTTGCTCAGCTGCTGGTTGCACATCCGATAGCGACTGTTCATCCGGCCAGACCTGTGCAACCGATACTGGTATTTGTTCGGCTCCGGGCTGCACCTCTGACAGCGATTGTGGTACTGGGGAGACTTGCGCTACTGATACCGGTATCTGTTCGTCTCCAGGCTGTACATCTGACAGCGACTGCTCTTCCGGAGAGACTTGTGCCACTGACACGAGTATATGTTCTCCTTCAGCAGGTTGCACATCTAATAGCGACTGTCCATCCGGACAGACCTGTGCCACTGATACTGGAATCTGTTCGGCTCCAGCCTGCACGTCAGATAGTGACTGCTCTACCGGACAAACTTGCTCAACTGATACTGGCATATGTTCCCCCTCAGCCGGTTGCACGTCCGATAGCGACTGCTCTACCGGAGAGACCTGTGCAACTGATACCGGAATTTGTTCGACACCTGGTTGCATGTCTGATGATCAGTGTGGGACGGGTCAAACTTGTTCATCGGGAACTTGTACCCCTCCCTGCACATCTGACGATGACTGCTCTACTGGAGAAATTTGCACAGTCAACACCGGTATTTGCATAGAAACAACTGGTTGTACCTCTGATAGTGACTGCGACACTGGAGAGACCTGTTCTACCGACACTGGCATCTGCTCGGCACCAGCTTGCACCTCTGATAACGACTGTCCTCAAGGTCAAACCTGTGCCACCGACACTGGACTTTGCTCACCATCTTCCTCGGGTTGCACTTCTGATAGTGACTGCGCTACCGGGCAAACCTGTACGGTAGATACTGGTATCTGTGCCTCGTCACCGGGCTGCACCTCCGATAGCGACTGCGCTACTGGAGAGACCTGTGCGGCGGACACTGGGATTTGCTCAGTACCGTCCTCGGGCTGCACCTCCGATAGCGACTGCGCTACTGGAGAGACCTGTGCGGCGGACACTGGGATTTGCTCAGTACCGTCCTCGGGCTGTACATCTGATAGCGACTGCGGTACTGGACAGACCTGTACAGTTGATACTGGCATCTGCGCATCACCACCTGGCTGTACGTCTGATAGCGATTGTCAGAGTGGAGAGACTTGCTCAACTGAGACTGGTATTTGCTCAGCACCAGGTTGTACTTCTGATAGCGACTGTGCTACCGGAGAAACCTGTACGGTAGACACTGGTATCTGTGCTTCACCACCGGCTTGCACCTCTGACGACCAGTGCGGATCAGAACAAACCTGCTCTTCTGGAGCCTGTACGCCATCTTGCACCTCTGACACGGATTGTGCGACTGGAGAAGTCTGCACAACTGACAGTGGAGTCTGCACATCAGGTTCAAGTGGATGTACCTCCGATAGCGACTGTCCCAGTGGTCAAACCTGCACAGTTGACACTGGCGTCTGTACAGCAGGTTCAAACGGCTGTACCTCTGACACCGATTGCAATACCGGAGAAACCTGTACTGTCGATACCGGCGTTTGTGCTCCTCCAACCGGCTGTACATCTGATAGTGATTGTGCCGCCGGGGAAACCTGCACAATCGATACTGGAGTCTGCGCAGGAGGGTCGAGTGGCTGTACGTCCGACACTGATTGCAATAACGGGGAAACCTGCACAATCGACACTGGCGTTTGTGCTCCTCCAAGTGGTTGCACATCCGATACCCAATGTGGCAGTGGTCAGACTTGTTCCTCTGGAGCCTGTACCCCTGCTTGTACTACTGACACCGATTGTTCTACTGGAGAGACTTGCACAACAGACACTGGAATCTGTATAGCAGGGTCATCCGGATGCACCTCTGATTCTGATTGTGCTTCTGGAGAGACTTGCAATACGGATAGTGGCACTTGCTCGACATCCGGCTGTCAGTCGGATTCTGATTGCGGCACCGGGCAAACCTGCGCTACTGATACTGGCATTTGTTCAACACCGGGTTGCCAATCCGATACAGATTGTCCTTCCGGACAGACCTGCGCGACTGACACTGGCATTTGCTCCCCAGCCTCAACTGGTTGCCAATCTGATGCCGATTGTGGTACTGGACAGACCTGTACAGTCGATAGTGGCACTTGCTCGCCAGCAGCCTGTCAGTCTGATTCTGATTGTGGTACTGGACAGACTTGCAGTACCGATAGTGGCACTTGCTCGACGCCTGGCTGCCAATCTGATGCCGATTGTGCTACTGGCCAGACCTGCGCTACAGATACTGGGATTTGCTCAACGGCGGGCTGCCAGTCCGATTCTGATTGCGGTACTGGGCAGACTTGTGCTACTGATACGGGCATTTGCTCGACACCCGGCTGTCAATCCGACACGGATTGTGGTACTGGAGAGACTTGCACTGTTGATACCGGCATTTGCTCTCCAGCTTCGTCCGGTTGTCAATCTGATAGCGATTGTGGTACTGGGCA